TCACTGTATTTGATTCTGGTGCCCTGCATCTTGTATATATTTTTTTCTAATTTGGGGAGGGGAATGGAAATAAGAAAGTGCTGAAACAAGGATACAGGTTGACCCATTGTAACAATGAGACGTACAAGAAACTATGTTGAAAATAAACTTTACAACTTTGGGTGGGGAGGAGTTAAGGAGGTGGGGAGGGAAGGAATGGTAGGGGAAAACAAAGAGGAGGTAACAATGCTCGATAGGAAATGTACTCATTACCTTACTCTGTACAGTATTTTTACAATAAAAAACATATATATATATAAAGACATGACAATTTGTGGCTCATACGAAACACCTTAGTGACATAAACAAGCATTGGCTTAGGGTGAAAGGGTAGAAAAAAATCCTACCAAGCAAATGGACCCTGAAAGTAGGTAGGAGTATCTATATTTATATCTGATAAAATAGACTTCAAACCAAAATCAATCAGAAGATGCAAAGAAGATCCACACACAGAACAAGAAACAGGCAAAAGGATGTTTCACTGCTAATCACATCCAAAACACTACACACCCAACAGCCAAGACTAGCACACAGTAGCCAGATACCTGAGCACACCAACTGACTGAACCAACACGCCTCCACACACCAACTCTACCACCCTAACACTGGAACCCTCCAGCAGCCCCAAATCCTACCATCCTGAGGGGCCTACTACAGACAAGGAACTGCACCCACCCAAGACACCTCCCACAGGCCAACCAGGGCCTCACCCACCACCTGTCCTAATCAGACCCCTCTGCAGCGTTGGCCTTCAGTAACCGGCTCCAGCCCGTCTGTAGCCCAGCCACACAGTCCTGGGTTGTCCTGGTCTTTGAACAGTCGTATAAAACCCTTAGTGGTGGGGCCTCAGGGAAGAGCAGGAAACTGAGACTCTCTTTCCACATGTGTTCAGAAGGCTGAGGCTGGTGGGCAGCATTGCATGGCTGGACAGTGCCCACTGACCCTAGCAGAGCCTGGGGATGAGGAGGTAGCTAGCACCCAAGGATTGGGGCTCAATGATGCACCACACAGCTCCACATGAAGGGGATGCTCTGGGTACCTGGCTCTGGCCTCCTGGTCCTCTCCCGGGGCAGTTCTGGAAGGGAGGGGAGAGGAGACTGAGATCTGAGAAGCCAGCTCTCTCCTACCCAAGCGTGAGGATGAATGACGCATGGGGATGGCAGCAGACAGAGGAAACAGACAAGGACCAGGAGAGAGACAGAGATCCCAGATAGAGGGAGCTAGAGACAGGGAGAGACAGAGGGGAGAAAGCTAAAAGAGACCAACGATGACCAGAAAAAGGAGACTAAACTGGAGAGGGAAAGAGACAGTGGGGCAGAAAGTCTGGCCAAGGGAGAAAGGGGCTGGATTCTCAGCCTCCTGAGGATCCCCAGCCTCCTAAATGCCAAGGGTTCAGCTGGGTCCCCCCTGCCTCCACTGGATCCCAGAGAGCCTCACCTGAGTCACATCAGCCCCCAGTTGCCAGCACTTTCTTGTTGCTTTTGGTGATTACTGGGGATGGAATTCAAGACTTTGCATTTGGTAGGCAGGTACTCTACCACGGCAGCCAATCCCTCAGCCTTTTTTGTTCTGGTTATTTTTCTCCAGTTTTTGCCCAAGGTGGCCTCAGACATCAATCCCCCAACATATGCCTCCTGCAAGGCTGAAATCACACACACCACCACATCTGGCTTATTTATTGAAATGGTGTCTCACTAGCTTTTTGCCTGGACTGGCCCCAAGCGGTGATCCTCTTGATCTCTACTTCTACAGCAGCTGAGATTACAAGCTTGTACCACTGCCATCCTACCTGGTCTCACAAGCACTTTTGTGAAGGAGACTTCAAGCCTCTGGTTGGCAGCTCAGGGCTTCTTCAGAGCTGTACCTCCCCCTCCTCTGGAAAACTGGCATCTGCCAAGAATCAGAAAGGTCATCTGGGAATAGCCCAACCAAGGAGTTCACAGGTATACAACAGGAAGACCTTCTGTTTAGTTACTGGCTATCTATGAAGGAGATTTGAGCTAGACTAAAGCTAGAGCCACTCATTCCCACTACAGGGCAGAAGAAGCAGGAAGCCTTTCTTTCTTTATACCCCAGGATCCTCCCCTGCTCAGATCCCTGATGACTTGACCTGAATTTATATTCTCTTTCCAGCCAGTCTACCAAAAGAAAATGAGGCTGGCACTAGGGGGTTAAGCTACATGCCCCCTCAGATAAATCAGGGCTGAATGTGTAAGCACACTGTGGTTATCAGTAAAATGTGGATGAAAAACATTCTGGACAGGAGCAATAGTAAACACAAAAGGGCAAGAGTCAACGTAGATATTTGGGGATTTGGTCAGAACTGCTAGTAAGAAAGATCTGCAAATAGTCCTTTACTGAAGGACACAATACTGGGTCCTAAAGAACTGAGCAGAGGCTAGACACTTAGAAGCAGAGTAGATGAAAGCCGGGTGTGAGGAGCTGAGCTGGCCTCAGCTTTGGAGACAGTGCCACCTCCTGGCAGTTTTGTGAAACTGCACTCTCACTTGTCCTAAGAGTCCCAGTGTATTTGACTCCCGGACAGGATCACTTTATTAACACCTCCTATCTACCGAAATATTACTTTCAGCAGCAATTATGATATGAAAAAAAAATAATAGCAGTGACAACAAAAGAAATGAAAGTCAAGCGGAGCTGTGGCACGAGTAGCAGAGTGCCAGCCTTGAGCAGAAAAGAAATAAAAGTCAAAGTATATTTACTTTCTGCTATATTTTAGGTAATAGCATAAGTCATTGTCCAGTAACAAGATAATATTAATAAAACTTAAACATTTGCAATTAGCACAATTTGGGAAGCCCCTAAATAATGCCACTGATGTAATTTTCTTACTGTTTTAAAATAACTAGGAAATTATGTTTTACCATTATTCAAATTCAATAATATAAGTCATGGGTGAAGTGCTAACCAATGGAAAGTATCGTTCTTTTTATTTTTATTTTTGGGTCTGGTTGTGGGGCCTGAACTCTGGGCCTGGGCGCTGTCCCTCAGCTCTTCAGCTCAAGGCTAGCACTCTACCACTTGAGCCACAGCACCACTTCCAGCTTTTTTCTTTTTGCTTATGTGGTGCTGAGGAATCGAACCCAGGGCCTCAGGCATGCAAGGCAAGCACTCTACCACTGAGCCACCTTCCCAGCCCAGAAAGTATCATTCTTAAGGCACCATTTTAGTTTTGGTTTCCTTTTTTTCTTTTCTTTTTCCTTTCCTTGTGGTACTGGAGATTGGATTCAGGCCCTTGCGCTTACAGGTAAGGCAGGTTCTCTACTAATTTAGCCAAGCCTACAGCCCTATTTCCTTGGTTATTCTTGAAGTAGGGTAGAGCTTAATGTCTAGACCATCCATGGCTTTGAGCTTCCTACTTGTGCTTTCCTAAGTGGCTGGGGATGAGAGTTACACACCACTGCACCCACCCACTGTGCTTCTCCCCTAGCTGAACTAACAGATATACACCACCATATCCAGACAATTGGTTGAGATGGAACCTCATGAACTTTTATGCTCTGGCTGGCCTTGAACCACAATCTCCCAATCACCCCTTCCCATGTAGTTAGGATTGGAGGCTTGAAGCACCACACCTAGTGGGCCCTTAATGGTGTTTCGGTTTCTCTATGATCGTCAAGCTTCAGAGTCCCAAGTCCTGGGATTATAGGCAAGGTCTATACCCAGAGATCTCCAAGTGGTCATAGAATAATGAAATTGAACTAGTTGGAGTTCTATGTATTTACCTTCACAATTATCATGCTCTTGTCTATTTTGAATCTAGTCGGGCGGGGAGGGGGGGTGAGGGTACCATCTGGTGGGGGTTGAAGATCCTTAAAAACAATCCCAAACCTTTACAAAAGTAACCTCAAAACAACTACACATGTAGCTGAGTGTCTGACATTGACTGTAGAACTGGGGAAACTTTCTGGGGAAATACAAAGTTCATGAAAGGGAAGTAATAAATTGTGCCCATTTAAATTATTAAAACTCAACAGCAAATGGGAAATTAGAACTGGGGCTGATATATTTGAGACGTTAATAGTATTGTCCCATATTGAGTTTTGTGGCTTGACAATGTACTCACATGTCACCAAAGCTCTAGACCTCCTCTTGGCAGCTGCCTACCTGGCCATCATGTTCCCACTCCACACAATGATGCTGCAGAGTACTACGGTACTCTCCCGTAGTCTCACAAAATGACCATAGGCTTTCCAGCGCTTCTGGGTTCACACCATAAATAAAATGAAAGTTCACCTGCCCAGAATGCCCAGCAAATCTCCTTGCTTCTCATTGGCTCTGAGTGAGTGACATGCCCTCCCCTGAGCCAATCACTCAGATCAACGGGATGAGGCATTGGCTGGGAGCTGGAGAGAAAGCCAATGACAGCTAAGAAAAGAAATGCCTCCATTTCATTCCACCTGTTGGGCAAACCCAAGGGAGCAGGCTCAGGACTGTCCTGGTGAGCAGAGACATCAGGTGGTAAAGACCTCAACTGTGACCAATTAGGCCCAGGGAGAGGGCAGCAGTTGAGTAGGAGCTGGTAACAGGACAATCTAGAGACCTGAAAACATACTTATATGTGTCTGTATCACTTGATTGGGGGCTGGGACTAGGTGGGATTTGTTGAAACCTCTCCAGGTGATCCCAATGTACAGTCATCACGGATATGCCCACCTCTGCACCCCAGGAAAACAGACAGGAAAGCTGAGGTCTGGTGGGTACACATCTCTGAGCCCCGCCTATACCCACCTGGCCTCAGTTTCCCCATTCTGTCCCAGCACCTCATTCACAGAAACATGCTCCTAGGGTTGGGGGAAAGTGAAAAGAGCAGCCCCATCTCCCTAGAGGTGTGTTCAGGCATGGCTCATGAAAGAACCACTCAGGTCTTTCATGCCTTCCAGTGACCGCCCCCTCCAGACTCAGGTCTCCTCCTGCGAAAAGAGGAGGCATGCAAGCGAGAGAGAAAAGAGTTTATTCCCACGATTGAAGCTACCTTCATTGGAGACTCTAGGCTTCGGCTCCTTGTGAGGAATGCCCCCTCAGCCCAGGACCCTCAGTAGGTACCAGTCCCAACCCAGGCTTCCCAGCATGCCCCCCCTTCTGTCCTCTCCAGCCTAAAAGGTCTGGAGACCAGGTAGAAAGTGGGAGGGGGCTATGGGCTTTAGGTTTCAGGTGCCCCTTACTACATCCCCACTGGAGGGAGGGAGAAGCCAAGCTGACCTCAACCAGATGGTCACTCCCAGGACCAGCTGCAAGCAGAGAGGAAAAGGCTGAGCATGGGGCTCACAGGGTCAGAGTTGCTGGAACTCAAGCACACGCAGCCTCCACCCCCTGTCCACACTGTGGAGCATCCTCAGCCCTGCTCGCCATGCTGTAGTAATAGGTCCGCATGCGCTGCTCCACTGTCAGGAAGTCTGGGCGGTCTTCCCACCTGCAGGAAGTGAGGCAGATGTAGAACCCATCTTCAGGTGAAGAGAGGTGTGGAGAGGGTTTGGTTGCAGTGGGCTTTCAGGGCTCAGAAAAATAATGGGAGCCAAGCACTGGGGGTTCACACCATAATCCTAGCTACTCAGGAGGCTGAGATCTGAGGTTCTAATGTTGAAGCCAGGCAAAAAAGTCTATGGGATTCTTATCTCCCATGAACCAGCAGAAAACCAGAAGTGGAGGTATGGCACAAGTAGTAGAGTCAGCCTTGAGTGAAAAAAGCTAAGCAAGAGTACAAGGCTCTGAGTACAAGCTCCAGGACCAGTGCAAAAGAGGACAAGGGAGAGAAGAGAGAAAGGAGAGTTCTAGAACATGTGCTATGGTGCCACACACAGGCCCCCTTGGTTATTGGTTTGGCATGCTGGTTATGTTCTGATGGAGCCCGAATTGCATGTTTTGGAGAGAGATGGGTCATCCATTCTGCTTGAGTGTTTCAGGGTCACATCATTAAGTGCAGGCTGGTGCAGCATCAAGTGTGGAAATGCTGTTGCTGCACAAACAGTGTAAGGTGACAGAATATTTGGGTGTGTTGTCTGATGGGGTATTTGGGGAGGACATAGGTGGAGGAGCTGAGTATACGAGTGTTTGGGTCTTACTGTTTGTCTCTCTCAATGATTAGGTGCTGAGAGTTGGCTGGACACTAGAGAATTGCCCAATGTCTGAGCACTAGTGTTAGATGTTGAGTAAGTATAGACTAGAGTTTCACAGAGTGTCACACATTGAGTGTTGGCTGGTAGAGAGCTGAGCAGAGCTGCAGATGGACTAAGTATAGCAAGTGTTAGAAAGGCTGTGACCTGGATAAGGGTCTTTGAGTGGGATAACATTGGGGAGTTACAGTGCCGCTGATTGGACCCCAAGACCCCCTTCATGCCCCAGGCCCAGGGATTGGTCAAGCCAGGGCCCCACCCACCCACGCACTCACTTGTAGATCCAGCAGTCACTCATGAGTGCATACATTTCTGGTGGACACTCTGGTGGGCACTCCATCCGCTTGCCCTGTTTGATGAAGTCCAAGACCTCTGGGCCTTTCATCTTCTGCTCAAGCCAAGGCCAAGGACATGTATGAGTAACTAGGGGGACAACATCCTGATCACCCTCCCAGCCCACCGTGTGCCCACCTCTGCCCATACCTACCTTGTAGGGCTTCTGGCCGTAAGAGAAAGCCTCCCACATGGTGACCCCATAGCTCCAGACATCGCTGCGGCTGGAGAACTTGCGGAAGTTGATGCACTCCGGTGCATACCACTTGAGAGGCCACTTCCCTGCTGAACGAGCCTGGGAAGGGGGTGATACTGCTAAGCCAGGGTTCAGGGACCCTCAACCCACCAGCCCCAGCCACCCAGGCTCACGGTGTAGTAGCTGTCATCAGCACCCAGCGCCTTGGAGAGGCCAAAGTCACTGATCTTGGCATAGTGCCGGTTGACCAGCAGCACATTGCGGGCGGCCAGGTCTCGGTGCACAAAGTTCTTCTCTTCCAGATACTTCATCCCCATGGACACTTGGTGCAACAGCTCAGCCACGTTGCTGACTGGAATCTCCTCCCTTGAGTGAAGGGGAAGGCGACATCAGCAGGGAGAAGACAGCTTTAGTTCCAGGGCCAAAGCCTTCATCTCTAACCCAGACAAGGAACCACCAGTTCACCACAGGTTCAATAAACATTTGCTGAGCAGCTGCTATATACCAGGCAAGAGGATGAGGACACGGGTATGTGCAAAACCCACAAAACCTTTGCTTTTGTCCCGTCTGGAGACTCCAGTCTATAAGTACACACTGGAACCCTCAAGCTGATTTCTCTGCCTGTACCTTGCTGTATCCCCTGAGAAATTCCAGATTTTTTTTTCCAATACAACCAAAGCAGAGCCCTGAGTGAAAGTCTCCATATGTATACACGTGTATGATACACACACACTCACTCACACAGAGCTCTCCCACCCCATCTCCAACAGCCCTACCCTTCGAAGAATCTGTCCTCACCCTGGCAGCTGTACCTGAGAATACCTCCATGATCCTCCCACTTCTGTCACCTGGACCCTCATTCTCGTCTGGACTGGAGCATTAGGCTCCACCCAGCCTCCTGCCTCTCTTCTCCATAGCCATCCCACAGGCTTGTCCTCCCTGTGTCTGAATGGAGCGCTTCCCCCATTTCCCAGCCTGGGTCCCAGGGCTTCCACCTTATCCCAGGTAAAAGACCAGGACCTCTCACGGGCACCATCTGCCCCATCACCTCTCAGCCCATATCAGCTCCCTTCTCCTCATTCCACCACCACACCAGGCTTTACCCACCACCTCAGGGTCTTTGCACAAGATGTACCCTCTGCCTGGAACACTCTTCCCCCAGATTGGGGCTCAGCAAGCCTCCTTGTTTGCTCAAGCACCATGTTCATCCTGACAGTTCTGCCTCCTTGGCCTGCCCAGCTTTTTAGCTACAAAATCTGTCTTCTAGCTTGTTCAATATTACATCACAAGTATTCCTTATTGCCTCTTCTCCAGACAGGAAATAAGGTAAAGGTCTCTGCCTCTTTCATTTACTGATAACCCAAGTTATCAGATAACTTGGGTTATCTTTGATAACCCAAGTGCCTGACACCAAAAACCTGCCCAACAGATAGCTGTCCATCTATGACTGAATGTATAACAGGGAGACAGTGCAAAGGCATCTGCCCCCAGCACAGAGTTTGAAGTAGCAAAACACTCCTCAGTGAGTGTAACCTTGTGCCTGTGGGGAAAGAGTTTGGGAACACAAATGAAATGATCAAACTTAGGTAAAGGGCAGAAAGTAAACAGTTCAGCCTTTGCCAGCCACATATGATGTCTGTCACATGGTCTTTGTTCTTAAAGGGTCTTTAACCCTTTAAAAATCTATATCATGTGATGCAAAAGCAAACTGTGGGCTGCAGTTTTCTGCCCTGATTTATGTCACACTCAACTATTAGCCATTTCCTGTGGATGATGGATTTGGCCCAGAGACTCCGAGTGGCAAGGACAGAGCTGACATTTACGAAGCTCTGGTCTGCAGGGTCAAATGCTATCTAAGCACTTCCTAAGCATCAACATCTTTCATTGTCACCAGAACTCTGTGGTACATCCTGTTGTTACCACCAGAGTACTCAGGATCTCTGCTTTGCAGCATGAGTGTGAATATGGAAGGGTGTAAGGGTTGGATATCCATGCATACTTTGTGTGTGTGTGTGTGTGTGTGTGTGTGTGTGTGTGTGTGTGTGCGTGTGTGTGTGTGTGTGTGTGTGTGTGTGTGTGTGTGTGTGTGAGTACTAGGTCTTGAACTCAGCCTGGCATTCTTGCTTGGCTTTTTGCTCAAGACTGATGTTCTACGACTTGAGCCATGCCCCCACTTCCAACTTTTTGCTGTTAATTAAACTAAAGAGTCTTGTCCATGTGTCTGCCTAGGTTGGCTTCAAACCACAATCTTCAGTTCTCCAATCCTTGAGTAGCGGCCTTCTTGAAGATGTGAAGATGAGTGTATAGATGGTTCCCATGTGTGAGTATGTGCATCTTGGCTCTGCCCTTCCCTCCCCGGTGACCCAGCCCACCCATGCTCACTTTTTTCCAATCAGGAACTTGTGCAGGGGCCCGCCCCCCGCCATCTCCATGACGAGCATGAGCGCCTCGGCCTTGCACACCCCAATGAGCCGCACGATGTAGGGGTTGTCCAGCTGGTGCATGATCTGTGCCTCACGCATCATCTCGTCCTTGTCTGCCTTCTCTGTGCTTTGCTTCAGCACTTTGATGGCCACATCAATCTGCTTCCTGCCCGGAGCACAGCCAGCCATGCCGGAGGTGAGTGCAGGAGAAGTGTGAGCTTGGAATATCCCACTGCACCCTCACCCCACCCCGGCCCACCTCTCTCTTCTCCCCTAAGTTGGGTGATGATGCTCTGGCTGGCCACTCCCATCAGGTCAAAGGCAGCTGCCAGGAGCATCAACTGAGGACAGCTTATAGGCATGCCCTCACCATGACTGGAGAGACTCACCAAAGTCACTCCCTCAGCCAAAGTCAGTACAAGACAAGGGACCCCTCTGTGCAGGTCCCCTGTGCTGCAGCTACAGCTGGCCCAGGTTTGCGTCCCCACCCCCCTCTCCAGTGTCCCTAAGTTGTCCAGACAGTCCTCCAGCATGCCATGTACCACCCTCAAGTCTGCTTTCCAAGTAGACTGATGAGACAGACAGCCACCACGGCCCCCATTGCTCCCACATAAGAACAGCCGTACTTGCGCATGCGGTAGACGCCCTGGCGCACGGAGCCAAAGTTGCCACAACCAAGTTCAATGTCTGCCACAAGAAGGTTCTCACGCTTCAGGAAGAGCTTCTTGTCCTTGAGCTCCTCAGGGTCGCTGTAGGGGCTCTCATACACACTTGTGTCCATGGGCATTGGCCGGGGCTTCTCTGGAGATGCTAGACGTGCTGGGCACACATGCGCGCGCGCACACACACACACACACACACACACACACACACGCAGAGTCAGGTACTCCCAAATCAGGAGAATGGACAGGGGGACAGACACACCCTAGACAAGGATGCCACCCCCAGAGCATGCCTAGACATAGGGATGAGCATGGTGTTAGTGTGTGTCCGCGTGTGTGTTCATACTACACACAGTTGCCTTCACATCTGCGGGTCCCCTGTGCATCAGACTTAATTAGGAGGCTGGCTGGGAGGTGTACACCCATACTGCATCTGCCTGTCCCTGTCTGCAACCTCACTTCACAGCGCAGGTACCAGGTTGCTGAAGATGCTGTGTAACCATGGAGACAAGGCTGTCTCTGTGAACCCACAGGAAACATGTGAGCACCTGCAGCACAGTGTCCTGAAGTGAGTCTGCCCAGCTCCACCCATCTCACTGTGAGAATGAGCTACCTGCCCTCTTTCTCATCTGCCAGGAACGTCATACATACAGGCTGTGTGTCTCGGGGCAGGGGTGGGAGGGAAGGAAGCTCTGGGGCCAGTGTCCACCCCCCCCCCATCACATGTCAGCACACCTTGGAATATCCACACACAGGCATGTGTGGGCACGGGGGCAAAGCACATCCACTGCTTCAGGCCTGGCCTCCTCCCCTTCCCCACACTCTCTGAGACTAGATACGAGCCCCACCCAACCTCCACCTGTGCTGGCTCACCTGGCTCAGGGGTGTATCCATCTGAGTTGAGGGTATCCACCCGTCTTTGAGGCTGAAGGTCATGGGGTCAGTAAGTTAGCAGAACCCAGTCTGAGGCCCTGGCCCCCCACGAGACCCAAGCCTGCCAAAGACTCCCAAGGGCTGTGCTCTGGGAGCCCCTCTTCCCTCCATTACAACCCAGTCATTCTCCATGCCAGCTCCCCAGGGGCCAACCACCCCACCCTGGCCCCTAGGTGTTGCTGATGTACCTGGGTGAAGGTGGATGGGTGGGCTGGGAGCGTGGGAGCAGCGGCACCTGAGGGCACAGAAGTGGCAGTGAGATGGGGCCTAGCCTCCTGCATCTCTACCCCTCACACCCCGACTGCCCCTCTCACCTGCAGCGCTGGCAGTGGAGTTGGGGCAGACCTCCTTCAAGCAGTAGATGAGCCCATCGGCCTTCAGCTTCAGGTACTCCACAAGCTATGGAGAGGAGAGGGTGTCAGGTGGGTCTCCTCGTCTCCCTGATACTGATCTAACATCACCCCAGAGCAAGGTACATGGTCACCTACCTGCCAGAGAGTGTCAAACTTGGTCCCCTCAGGAATGCAGTACTTGCCAGCCTTGTCCTGGCTGATAAGGTAGTGGTACACAGTTTTCCCATAGACCATGGACAGTGCATATGTGCCTTTCTCCTTCCGGGGCCTCAGCCTGTCAGGGAGGGAGGGGCGTCAGCCCTACAGCAGCTTGAGGGCCCTTTTAGAACTCATTATCACTCAATGTAAATGCACACATGTGTGCATGTGCACGCGCGCACACACACACACACACACACACACACACACACACACAGAGGCCAACTGGGTGTCATTCACTGGAACTGTGGCATGAAACTCATGTTGAAGCCAATCAGCATCTTCCACAACTGCTTTCTTTGAGCCATTGGCATAAATGTTAATGTCGACTTCCAACGAAGGAAGGACAGCTGGTCATGCAGGGGGAGGGTTCTCGTAGATGTAGAAGGTTTACAGGACAGCTAATCCCCAAGCTCAGAGACTGCACTGAGATATAAACAGCTGACCTGTAGTTGGCCACAGGAACTAGCCATCAAGTGACCTATGAGTGAGACTCCTCAGAAATGTAAACTTGCAGGCCCCACCACGCATGTTCAATCGCTGAATAAATACCACCAGGCCATGCATCTCTGTGCCTAGATACGTGGTAAACCAGACAGCTGTGAGCACACCTGCCCATTAGACGCTTCCTTAGATTAAAACAGGAAAATATCCTCTACATCACGGCAGTGGAGCCTGAGTGAGAGTCAGAGGGGTGGCTGTGACCATCCTGTCCTTTCCTGGATGGCTTATTCCCAAAAGACACTGTGATGAGGATAACAAAGTTCCCAGGGTATCTACAACTGTCACTCAAAGAAAGATGACACAGTTCTCAGACTATCCCACAAGTGTATCAGGGAAGGTGTGGCAATGAGAACGCTGAACACAAACTAAGAAACACAAATGTTCCACCAAAAGGAAATCACTTTAATAATTTAAATTAGTGGGCTAGTCTGGAGGTTACAGTTGCTAGAGACTTGTTCACTTAAAAGTAAACCGGAAGTGGCGCTGTAGCTCAAGTGGTAGAGCGCTTGCCTTGAGCAGAAGAGCTGAGGGACAGCGCCCAGGCCCAGAGTTCAAGCCCCACGACCGACCAAAAAAAAAAAAAAAAAAAAGTAAAAATACTTCCAAAGGGCCACACCTTTAAGTTTTAAGCAGACAAGAGAAACTCAACACCAAGTATGTAGATAATACTTGTACATACACCCACACACCACACCACCACCACTACCATCACCACCACCACCAATTGTTCTCCCTGATAGATAAAAATCTATTTCTGTAGTTACTAAATCAGAGCTTAACCAAGTGAGCTGCTTTAGCTCCTATGATATTTACAAGCATGACACACACAGAGGCTTGAGAAAGAGTTGTGCACCAAGCCCTTACTGTCCTCTCTTGCTGTTCCTGACCATTCTGTGCCTACCAAGCTAACCTGGAGATGCCACATGGGAAGCCCAGGGGTGTCAGCCTGCCCACGCATGGCATGATGTGTGAGTGCAACCATCTGGGACCATGCCCCTCCAGTCACCCTCCCAGCTGATGACTCATGAATGAACTCAAGAAACCAGAAGACTCACCCAGCTAAACTCAGCTCAGATTGCCTAGAGGGAATAAATGACTGCTGTACGCCACTATTTAGGGTGGTGTGTTATATGGCAAATACTGTCTTTGGAAGGAGAGATGTGAACTTATGAAAGAACAGAAATATATCACACTGGCTGAAATATTGGTAGTGTCACTGCTTATATTCCAGTGCCACATAGCCGACTTTATTTGCAATAAGTAAGTAAAAAGCCTACTAGGTAGTGGTAGTTCTCTGTACTTGCAGGTTGAACTTGTCCTTCAGCAAGAGGCATGGGCAAAGAAATTGACTTATGTCTTTATTCTTAAAATAATATATAGAAGCCAGACACTGGTGGCTCACACCTGTAATCCTAGCTACTTGGGAGGCTGAGATCCAGAGGATCACAATTTGAGGACAGCCTGAGCAGAAAAACCTGCAAGACTCCATCTCCAAGACAGCCAACAAAAATGCCAGACTGGAGACACAGGTCACATGTTAGAGCATCAACCAAGCCAAGCAAGCTAGAGGACCTGACAATAATAATAACAACATATAGTATCTGACAAGATTAACAAATAGAGCAACTAATTGGTACTAAACTCTTCGTCTAGTTGTCATTTAATCTTCACAGCATTCCTCATATAGAAATAATATCATCCTGTTTTGTAGCTTGCAAAAGATTGTATCTCTTGGGGTTGGGAAGGTGGCTCAGTGGTAGAGTGCTTGCCTTGCATGCATGAGGCCCTGGGTTCAATTCCTCAGTACCACATAAACGTCAAAAGCCAGAAGTGGCCCTGTGGCTCAAGTGATAGAGCGCTCGCCTTGAGCTGAAGAGCTGAGGGACATGCCCAGGCCCAGAGTTCAAGCCCCATGACCAACAACAATAACAACAACAACAACAACAAAAGATTTTATCTCTTACCTAAAGGGTTCACAATTCGTATCAGATGGAATCAGGATCCAAATCCATTTCTAACTCAAATGCTAATAGCTACCTATGATTGACATCTAACTCTGTTGCCTGAAACAACAGGACCAACTGATCATGAACCAAACAAAAATAAACCTTTTCTCTTTTTAAGTTGCTTTGTCTCCGGTATTTGTTACAGGGATGGAAACTTAAGGGTTGGGGAGGGTATAAAAGGAGTTCAGCTTCAGCAGGAGTTCCACGACCCAGAGGGGTTAAGAAATATTGGCAAGATGCTCTAGAATGGCCTTTTCAGGGGTCAAGTTCTTGTTCAAATTGAACTAACCAGCACCATAAAATGCCACCACTAAGTACACAGAAACAAAGTAAATATTTGCAGCACACAGCCTTACATACAATTCCGTTTGCTCATCAACAACTTAGATGGGATCAATGTAAGGGTGGTTTTGGCATTAATTCTAGGCTAAGTGGTATCTGCCTTTCTGAACCCTTATCTTGAACTCTTATCTGGGAAGTAGACAACCAGGACTATTCTCTCGCCCTCACCCCTTCCCTGTGTGAGGTTCTATCGCTGCTGCTTTGACTTTCTGTCCCCAACTAGTCGCACACTGACAAAGTAATTACTGACTATAGATACTACGAGAAGATCTACTACCTGTCTGGAACCTGTCCTGCCTAGTTTGCCAGGAGTCTGGCTGGCTCCTCATAACTGGTGAATGAGTCCCTTATAGTGCCCCTGTTCAGCTGCAAGCTTTAGTCATTGTACACCACCCAGATCCTACTTCTCCCAACCCCCTGCCATCTGCTGGTCCCATTTGCCTCTTAGACTTCAAGCTAGTTTGATTCCCAGAGCCATTATTAGTCCTGGTTTTCCTGAGATTCCTTGTATTTCGATTGACTGGCTAACTCAAAACCTGTCCTAAACTGTTTTGTGCAAATAGTTTGTAAAATTTCCTTCAGGCAATGAAATTGTTTGTCAAACAACACTGAACCAGAAATATAAGATTTAAAACACACACACACACACACACACACATACACACACAGAGATCAAAGCTGAGACTCTACTGTTGTTGAAGCCAGTATAGAGACTCAGAATCCAATCTGCCTTGACAGATATGGTGGTCCACAGGTGTAATCCCAGCTACTTGGGAGGTAGAGATAAGAGGATCCCAGGCTAGCCCAGCCAAAAACTTCATGAAATTATCTAAAACAAAGAAAATCCAATATGGCTGCATATGCATCTAGTTCCAGTCACTTGTAGGAGGATGGCAGTTCAAGGCTAACCCAGGAAAAAGAGACCTTATCTGAGAAATAAATTAAGGCAGAAAGGGCTAGGGATGTGGTTCAAATGGCAGAGTGCCTGTTTACTAGTCAGGAGATTCTGAGTTCAAACTCCAGTACTGAAAACAAGTAAAGGGTGGGTCAGGAAACCATGAGAAATATTTTAAACCATTTGAGAAACAATATGGTTAGGTAGAAGAAAGGGAAGAAGGAAAGCAATGAGAGAAGAAGAAAGAAAAACCCAAGACAGACTTGTGGGAATGAAAGCTGTATCAGGGGATTTGAGAGGAACCCAAGAAGGGAACCCAGACTAAAAAGTCAGAGAAAGATGAATTTACATTTATGAAGGGAAAAGCAGAGAAGGAGGAAAAGGGGGCTGCAATCACAGAAATTCCAGGTGGAATTTCCACTGGGAAAGAGCTCTGCCATTCAGGCACCTGGGTGATGTGCACATAAGAAAGTGTGAGCCTTGCCAGGGAATGCTGGGAAAATCTTAGTGAGCATCACACCTGGGCAGGTGAAGAACACCTGGACCAGACACCTTCATGGTACCAGAAGACTGAGTCTTCTAGACACACCAGATACAAGCCCTGCTCTCTTGCTAATAGTCTGAACGGGGAAAAAAAGAGGGCACTTCCAGTACTGGTGGTTCAAGCCTATAGCCGTAGTTAATCATGAGGCTGGGATTATCTGAGGTTTGGGGTTTGAAGGCAGCTTAGACAGAAAAGTTCATGAGACTATTATCTCCAACTAACTACAAAAAACCCTAAGTAGAGCTGTGGCTCAAGTGGTAGAGCACTAGCCTTGAGCAAAATAGCTAAGGGAGAGTGGGCCTTGAGTTCAAGCCCCAGTACCAGCCACCACCAACCCTCCCTCACAAAAAGAAAGGAAGAAGGAAGGAAGGAAGGAAGGAAAGAAGGAAGGGAGGGAAGGAGGGAAGAGAGGGGGGAAGGAGGGGGGAAAGAGGAGGGAGGGAGGAAGGGAAGAAAGATAACCTCAAACTCTCACCAAGTTTGAGATGCCCATGCCTTCAATATGACCCTTTGTTCCAATCCTATGATAATGTTTGTAAATATAGCTGATTTAATTCTTCTAAGGTAATCCTTTTTCCACAGTGGCTTTGCATTTGGTGATGGGACTTCCTTTGGCCAAAAGGACATCAGTAACACTGTATATTCAGAGGCTTAGGAAGTACTTGCATACTGGAACTTGCACAGTACTATAACTCCAGTACTGTGTGAACACTCCTGGACAAGATCATACTTTGACCAGTTCACCACCACCACCGCCACCACCACCACCATCACCACCATCACCA